AACAAAAAGTTGTGTACATGTTTCACCATAAAATAGAAACAAGTAAAATATTATAACTACTTTATAAACAAAATAACTTTCGTAATAATTAAAGAAGATTGACATACAATTAATTAAATAAATCGCCGCTTACAACTTTTAACATTTTAAGAAAAATGCATTCTGGGAAATCGCACTTCCGGAATAACAAACCATGCGGCGAAAGAGAAAACATACCAGGTAACAATTTACCGAATAATCGCTAAACAAACACCGTTTTAATTATGTGATCATGTATACAATATAGGAAGCTATAGATAACAATAAATTTAACATCATAACGACATTAAAATCTTGAAAAGCAAAGAAAATAACGTATGCGGCAATACACATCGTCTGACAGAATTCGGGGGTCGTATCAAAACACAATGCACACAAAGAAAAATGTAATCAAGTAATACGGTTAAAACTTCGTGATTATAATATCACTGTCACTCTATTTGTCACAGTTACCAGGGTTTAAAATTAACTGAAATTTCCACTAGCCATGTGGGCTCCTAACATTTCAAATTTAGGAGCCCACAGCTCAATTTGTTAGCCCACAGTCAGTTTCTGTGATTTAAAAAAAAAGGTTCCTTTTTTTGGATACTGGGACAAAAGTAGATACAAATAAAATATGATTGTGTATAAATACATTTGTTTAAAATTGGAGTTCTTACTTTATAAAAATCAAATGTCATATGAATATTTAATCAAAGGAAATAAAATTGAATTCAAGCATCAATTTTGCTATCCTTTTTTACATGGTGGAATACGTATACATGTACATGTATTTGCTCCTTCAAGTTCAACTGATGAAGTAACAATGGTACATAAATAAGATTTTCGATGTTAAATATTTTAACTGTAACATATCTGAAACAGTAATAAGTAAAAACACTTATAATTTATATGAATAGGTAGTTTGGAGTTATTAAAATTGTATATCTTTCACGTATCAACCATGTACAGAAGAATGGAGGAAATTCGGATTAGGAAAAAACGATCGTTTTAGGGCTTTCACAAATATCATAGTTATGTACATTCTGCATGTAAATTAAAGTAAATATATTAAGAAAAATGCCATTTTTATTACATTGAAATATTTCAATACATATCGCAATACAATTTAAAATATCGCAATACGAAATCTTGGGCCAATACCCAGCCCTAGTTACAATAGTAAGTTGATGGGTTGAATTAAAGCAGAATTTTGGCCAAGGTCAACGGGACTGATTTGTCGTGTTTGTTGTTAAAAAGAAAACTTGTGTGATTTCTTTCATTTAATTTGAGAAACGAATTAGACAGAAATCAATTTCTAGGTGGTAATAATAATGATTGGATTATTCCAGATATTTAAGTTATCTATTTGAATACCTGTTCGGTTATGTTCAGTCGTGTGGTTCAATGGAACCATTTTCAATAGTGTGTTAAATCCAGTTTAGGACGACACATAGAGCTGTTAGCAGAGCACGTTCAAAATTTATTTGAATTATTAAAATGTTATGAATCCAACTTATATCTACCTATTGTATATTAATAATATATATCATTAATACATTAAAGCTAATGCATGCTGTTGCTAGTCCATTAAATGTGTTGTACAATTTATAATTACTGATTTTGTTAGGTTTTAAAGGAGAATTTGATGAAGTATGGATAAGTTAGGATCCTTGTCCAAAAAAACTGATCTTTAAAGTATTTGCAATGTGGTGTATCATTACCTTGAATTAATATTTCATATCTGAAGCTGAAATGGTTACTGTATTTCTTGACCCAAAACTGTTGTTGGTTTAAACTTGTGTAGCCAATGTAAACAATATCTAACACACTAATAGCTCTTCTTTGGAAAAGTGTCATGTAGTGAAGAGGTGACAATATTTTCAATCAAACTGCTATTTTCATTGACACATCATTTTTTTTTAATACAGTTACTTTAACATCATGAAAAGGGACTTGGCCCTTCATCAATCACAAGTAAATACAATTGACTAAATGCACTTGATCAAAATTATATTTGCTAATGTGCTGAAATGAAATGCTTACAGACAACAAAAACTTGCAATTTATACAAAAACCTATTTTTATTTACACAAAAGAATAAAAACAAACATTCTTTCAAAGATAATACAACTTAAATTAATGTCTTTATATCTCCTGTTATAATATAAAGACTTCAGTAACACCCAAGGGTTCCCCAAATAATCTTAAATCACAATTAACTGTGTACTATATGCTCTGAAACATACCTATTCACTGTCAATACTCAAAGACTAATTTTGAGTCCCCATGAGGTGTAGAATAATATAAAACTGAGCTATCAGGAGCTTGCCTCTGTAAAACAATTTACCTAGTAGATACTCAATAGAAAATACATAAACTTCATGCACTCATTCAATAGATGCACAGCTAAAGGTCTACACACTATAGTGGTATTCACTATTAAAAAAAATCAGCTAAGAGTAACCAATTCTCCTGTTGTCTAGCTGAACGACAATGTATCTCACTGCTCACACTGAGCTATCCCCTGCTCAGAGTGAACTGTCCCCTGCTCAGAGTGAACTGTCCCTACTCAGAGTGAACTATCCCCTGCTAAAAGTGAACTGTCCCCTGCTCAGAGTGAACTGTCCCTACTCAGAGTGAACTGTCCCCTGCTAAAAGTGAACAGTCCCCTGCTCAGTGTGAACTATCTCCTTCTCAGAGTGAACTATACCCTGCTCAGAGTGAACTGTCCCTACTCAGAGTGAACTGTCCCCTGCTCAGTGTGAACTGTCCCCTGCTAAAAGTGAACTATCCCCTGCTCAGAGTGAACTATCCCCTGCTCAGAGTGAACCCCCTTCCCCCTAACCCATTCCCATTAAGTCATTGTTCTTAACAGAGTAAATTACCTCCTTTCCCTAATTTAGTGTGAACGAAGCTAAATGTCCCCCTGATCAAATGCCCCCCCCCCCCCCCCCCCCCCCCCGAATTCAGTGTGAATTGTCCTCCTCCTCAGGATGAAATGTTCGCCTTCTGTCCTGATAACATTCATCTGCCTCCAAACTCAGTGTGACCCCCCTCCATTCAGTAAAAACTGTCCTCATCAGAGTGAACCGACCCCCTATTATCCTCTTCCTCAGGGTGAACTGATCCCCTACTGTCCTGATCAGAGTGAACCGACCCCCTATTATCCTCTTCCTCAGGGTGAACTGATCCCCTACTTTCCTCCTCCTCAATGTGATCTGAACCCCTACTGTCCTCCTCCTCAATGTGATCTGAACCCCTATTATCCTCTTCCTCAATGTGATCTGAACCCCTACTGTCCTCCTCCTCCATGTGATCTGAACCCCTACTGTCCTGATCAGAGTTAACTCCCTCATTACTCAGAGTCCAATGTCTTTGTTTGGAGAGAGAACTTTCCCCCTCGATGCTCTTTCCTGAGCCCTGAACCTCCCAAGGAGCTGGACGAACAGCTTCATGGTAGCCTTTCCCTGACAACATGGCCTCTTTCCGTCGAGAAGCACGAGTAGAGACCTCTTCTTTATGGATGCTGCGAATGTGTTTCACAAGATTTCCTTGACGATTACACTTGTACGGACAGGCATGACACTGATATATCTTTCCAACCTAAAAAAAGATTATAAATCATCATTTAAAAAATCTTGTTGCATTAGGCATACCAATTTAAATATAGTATGGAATCATATTTTAGCAATTTTCAAAGTATATGCATAAATACTGAAGAGTAATACATTTTTGATGAATAAAATCTATTTTATAAATGTTATTGCCTACAAGTTGTTTTTATATCTGTTTTGTGTACTAGGTTTAAATTTATTATACCCCCCGCTTGAAAAGCAGGAGGGTATATAGTAATTGGGATGTCCGTCCGTCTGTCTGTTACACTTGAAATACCCATCTCTTATCTGCAACTCCTCTCATACCACTGAACGAAATTTGATGAATCTTTCAAAGAATCTTTATTACATATTGCCATTGTGCAACTTCTATTTAAGTTTTTGATCTGACACATATTTTGGGTTTCCCAAATATGGTCATAATCACTGTTACTATGATACTATAATTGTAAGCTTCTGAAGATTGAAAATGAAAGCGCTAAAGCTTAACTAAGGATTTTTGTGTTTTCTTTTTACCTTTTTAGCTCACCTGAGCCGAAGGCTCAAGTGAGCTTTTCTGATCACATTTTGTCCGTCGTCCGTCTGTCCGTCCGTCTGTAAACTTTTCAAATTTTCGACTTCTCAAGAACCAATGGACCAAATTTAACCAAACTTGGTAAAAAGCATCCTTGGGTAAAGGGGAGTTTAAATTGTTAAAATGAAGGGCCAGGTCCCCTTCCAAGGGGAGATAATCAAGAAAAGACAAAAATAGGGTGGGGTCATTAAACAAGAGGCCCAGGGGCCACAGTGCTCACCTGAGAACATCAGCTAGGAAAAAACACATATCAGATCAGCACTGAAAGTTAATTTAAGTTGGGGGGGGCTTGAATTTAAACCCCCAAGGGGATCATAATTTGAAAAAATTAGAATCTACATTACCTGAGGATGATTCCATACAAATATTACTAATCCTGGCTTTGAAGTACTTGAAAAGAAGATTTAACAAGAGGCCCAGGGGCCACATCGCTCACCTGAGCAATTGGCTAAGAAAAAGCACACATCAGATCAGAACTGAAAGTTTACCAAGGGGGGAGGGGGCTTGAATTTTAAACCCCCGGGGGTCATGATTAGAACAAACTTCAATCTACACTACCTGAGGATGATTCCCTATAAATATTACTGAGCATGGCTTTAAAGTACTTGAGATTTTAAAAGTTTTCCCTAGATATTCCTATGTAAAACTTTTATCGGCCATTATGGCCCCACACTACCCCTGGGGGTCATGATTTCAACAAACTTGAATCTACACTACCTAGGGATGATTCCACAGAAGTTTCATCTTTCCTGTCTCAATGGTTCTTGAGAAGAAGATTTTTCCTATATATT